TGTCCATTGGCATATCTCAACAGCTCTTTCCTCTTTTGTGTTAGACACAAGAACACAGACAAAAAGGTTTTATCTGTGCATTCCATTCTAAGGAAAGTTTCTGCAAAGTAAAAGACAAAAGGCATCAGGCTTTTTCAGCACAACCTCCAATGTAAAGACAAAAGGCTTCAGGCTTTTTCAGCACAACCTCCAACGTTGAGAAGACTTCATGGATCTAAGTGCCTATATAAAGAAGTCCACTCCATCTTCTTCAGTAATGAACTACTTGCAAAAATCACTCAAGCAAATCTCTCAAAAGCTCTTATATTCTATTTGCTGTAACATTGTTCTTAAACTTAAGAGAAATATCATAGTTGTGATAATAGCTTTTTAGAAGCATTCTTACTCTTGTAATAGTTTTACATTGATTGTAAAAGGTTTCCTTAAGAGGATCCAGTTGGGATCAGTAGCTCTTGAGAAGACTAAGAACAGTTGTTCTTAGGTGTTACTATTGTAATCTGTTTGATTAAATAGTGGATTAAGTCCTTGACTGAGAAAGGCAAATCACTCTTGAGAGGGTGGACTGGAGTAGTTGAGTTCAACGAACCAGGATAAAAATAACTGTGTTTGAATCTTTGATTATTTGTCATACTTATTCAACCCCCCTTCTAAGTATTTTCTCACCTTCAAGAAGGTTTCAGTGATAATGACTGAGAAAGAAACCTTGAAAATACTTTCGGCCTACGTGGCTGAAACAAAATTACAAACGGATCTCGAAGCTGTGGATGATTACATGGCTGACGAAGCCATCTGCGACTCTCATCAAGAAGATCCTAGAGAGGGCTTCGACATGATAAATCCAGATGGAGGCCAAGACCAACGATTGGACGCCATTTATGACGACGAACCATTAGGGTTCGAAAAGGATCCACTAGCAAATCCTATCAAGATGCTAGCACAGGACCCTTTAGAAGAAGTTGATTTAAGTGAAGGGGTGCTAAAAAGGCCGACATATATCAACGCAAGGATAGAGCCCCAACTCAAAGCCAAAGTGGTTCATTTATTGAAAGAGTTTAAGGACTATTTCGCTTTGGACTATGACGAAATGCCTGGTTTGGGTAGGGAGTTGGTCAAACATAAGCTGCCTCTGATACCTGGGAGAAAGCCTATCAAGCAAGGTCCAAGACGGTTTGCCCCAGAAATATTGTCAAAAATCAAAGAAGAGGTCGAAAGATTACTTCGTTGCAAATTCATTTGCACAACAAGGTACGTCGGATGGTTAGTTAATATAGTGCTTGTTATTAAAAAGAATGGATCTTTAAAAGTGTGCATAGATTTTAGAGATCTAAATACTGCTACTCCTAAGGATGAATATTCGATGCCAATAACAAAAATGTTAGTGGGCTCTACGGATGGTCACGAATATCTTAGCATGTTAGATGGATATTCTGGGTACAACCAAATATTCATTGTTGAAGAAGATATTCCAAAAACTGCTTTTCGATGTCCTGGGGCTTTAGACACTTACGAGTGGGTAGTGATGCCCTTTGGTCTAAAAAATGCCGGCGCTACCTACCAAAGAGCCATGAATTCTATTTTTCACGATTTTATAGAAACTTTCATGCAAATTTATATTGACGACATCGTCATAAAGTCCGTTTCTGGTCAAATACACCTTGACCACTTAAGATGTTCTTTTATTAGAATGAGAAAATTTGGGCTTAAGATGAATCCTCTTAAATGTGCTTTTTGTGTACAAGCAGGGGATTTCTTGGGATTTGTGGTCCATAAGAAAGGGGTTAAAATAAATCAGAATAAAACCAAAGCAATAATGGAAGCGAAAACGCCATCAACCAAAAAAGAGTTGCAGTCGTTATTAGGCAAACTCAACTTCTTAAGAAGGTTCATCTCCAACCTGAGTGGCAAGACACAAGTTTTTTCGCCATTGCTTCGCGTCAACAAAGATAATTTCGAGCGGGGGCAACTCCAACAAGATGCTTTCGACAAGATCAAGGAGTATTTGAGCCACCCACCAATTTTATCTCCACCTTGTAGTCACAAAAGTATGAGGTTATATATAGTTGCATCAGAGAAAACCTTAGGGAGCATGTTAGCTCAAGAAGATGAAAGTGGAGTTGAAAGATCCATTTATTATCTAAGTAGAGTTTTAAATGATGCAGAAACTAGATACAACATGATTGAGAAATTGTGTCTATGTTTGTATTTCTCTTGTACTAAATTGAAGCAATATATAAACCCTATTAATGTGTAGGTTTCGTCTCATTTAGATGTTATTAAACATATGCTATCCAAACCTATTTTGCATAGCCGAATTCGTAAATGGGCTTTAGCTCTAATAGAATATTCGTTAACCTATCAGCCTTTAAAGGCTATGAAAGGCCAAATTATGGCTGACTTTTTAGTTGACCATGCTATAAACGAAACTGATGTAAATTATGTTGAAATACCATCCTGGAAGTTGTACTTCGACGGGTCCAGCCATAAGAATGGCACAGGAGTAGGTATACTAATTATTTCTCCTAAAATAATTCCAACAAAATTTAAGTTCAGTATCGAAGGTCCATGTTCTAACAACGAGGATGAATATGAAGCATTAATTGCTGGCCTCGAAATTTTGTTAGAATTGGGGGCAACTAGAGTCGAAATAATGGGAGATTCTGAATTGGTCGTAAAGCAACTTACAAAAGAATATAAGTGTGTTAAGGAAAATCTCATTGTATACTTTGTGGTGGCGAATAGGCTATTAAGAAAGTTTGAGATGGTTTCTATCCAACACGTGCCTAGGATAGAAAATCAAATGGCTAATGATTTAGCCCAAATCGCTTCTGGATATAAGGTATTAAAAGAAAAATTTCAAGAAGTAATTGAAGCAAGAGGAAAGATAATGACTGTGGGTTTATGCCTATCAGATCTGGAATCTATAAAACTTGGATACTTAGATGGCGAAAGTTTAGAAATTTTTGCCATAGATAATCTAACAGAGAAAGATTGGAGAAAAGCTATAGTCGAATATCTGCAAAACCCAACGGGTTCGACAGAGCAAAAAATCAAGTACCAGGCGTTGAGTTACATACTCATGGGTAATGAGTTGTTCAAAAAGACCCCTGAGGGGGTGTTGCTGAAGTGCCTCAGCGAGGAAGAGGCATACGTCGCTCTTTCGACAATGTATAGTGGAGCTCGTGGAACACACCAAGTTGGTCATAAGATGAAATGGTTATTGTTTCGACAAGGCATGTATTGACCCACTATGTTAAAAGATTGCATAGAATTTGCTAAAGGATGTCATGATTGCCAGATGCATGCTGGTATACAACATATCCCTGCTAATGAATTGCACTCAATAGTGAAACCCTGGCCCTTTAGAGGATGGGCTTTGGATATAATATGGGAGATTCGACCGACATCGTCAAAAAACCAGAAGTATATTTTGGTTGGAATTGACTACTTTACCAAATGGATCGAAGCAATACCATTAGTAAACGTAGGTCTGGAAGATGTAATCGAGTTTATCCAAAATCACATTATATACAGATTTGGCATTCCAGAAACGATCACGATAGATCAAGGATCAGTGTTTACCGGTCGAAAGATGCAGGAATTTGCCAATAAAATAGGTTTTAAATTGTTAACGTCAACACCCTAAAATAGCGACATGCAAAGTGACATATGTCGAAAATAAAAGGAAAAAAAACCGACCTTCCAGCCCAAGACTGTCGAAAGGACGATTTTTGGGGGCAATTTGTTGACTCCTAATTTTTGACGCTAGTCGAAGCCCGGGGTTATCTGGAGTAAAAGAGTTAAATACATAGTATAAAAAAGAGGGTTTCGACCAAAAAGCTTCAACGTCGAAGAAAGAGGAAAAGAAGCTAAAAAAATGCTAAGTATTGGGAAACGCTCGACGGAGACTATAACAAAGGAGGCGCGAAGGAGGTTTGCCAAAAGTGGGGGGAACTGCCAAATATTCAAAATTCGAATCAAGTGGAAAACGTGGGAACGGTTAGAAGGACGAAGATAGCTCCAAAAGGAGCATGTTAAAGAAGCCTCAACTGCCATATAGAAGTTATTTCATAGCACTATAAATAGATGTAAATTCTATGTAATAAGAGTGTTCATTTATTACCGTACTAGTTCATACCACTCTGAGTATCCGCGTGTAGAGAAACAAGTTAACGAGAATGTACGTGATACAACACCAAACCCTTTATTATCAATGCGATTTGTCTTTACAATTCACTTGCCATTTTTAACTTCTAGTTTTTACATTTCAAATTGTCCTTTACATTTTTCTGCCTATTTGCTGAGCAAAGACCCCCTAGTCGAACGCGGAGTTCTGATTAGAGTTATTCTTCAAGCCATTTATTTACTTGCCTCTTTATTTTCAAACGCTATTTAATTTCCAAAGGATTTACAACGAACGCGGAGTTTGGAAGTAATCTTTTCGCCTTTACATTACAACTGTTATTTTAAAGCCTTTTTTACTTTCAGCTTTACATTTACAACATTTATATTTGTGTTGCACTCTCCACTCCTTATTTCACTCAGTCGAAACAGAAGTTCATACACTCTTAGCACATGTTCTAGAATTTAATATGGTCGATCCTGCAAGTTAGTCAATTGTATCCCAAATTGATAGACTATCGGTTGTTTACCAAAAATCAAAATAAACACATACTAGTATAAGTAAATTATTGACACTTATAATTCATTATTTTTTATTTTAAAACCATACTAAAACTTAATTTTTGAGATCTATATTATAATAATATTTCAAAATATTCTAGATGTATATAATAGTGGAGTTAGTATAAAAAAAAAGTATATACTAGGGGGTTCGAAAACCCCTTCACACGAAAAGTTTTGGTTTTGGTAGAAGAACGCGTCCAGGAGGAGGTGAAACGAAGTTTCACAAGTCTTTGTTTCTAGTTAGACTCTGTTAGAGAGAGAGAGTACTTCAAAGTCATTCATTTCTTCGTTCCTCTGTTTTGCGTTTGTTTCCGATTATGGTGAAAGCAGCGAGCGAGAATGGTTCTTCTTCTGTGGCACCTTTCTTGACCAAATGTTACGATATGGTTGAAGATCCTTCCACCGACTCCATCATCTTTTGGTCTCAATCTGATAACAGTTTCATCATCGATAACGTCTCTCAATTCTCTCTCACTCTTCTTCCTAATTACTTCAAACACAACAATTTCTCCAGCTTCGTCAGACAGCTCAATATCTATGTACGTTACTCCCTTCTATCTTAATTTTACTGTTACTTTTTTTTTCTTCAATTTTTTAGGTCATGATTTTCTCTGATTTTCGATTTTTCTTGATTCTTGTACTTTAATCGCAGAATTGTGTTTATGCTTTCTATCAATTTTGGATAATTAAAATTTATTGATTAATATAGTTTGTGATTTAAAATCTGTTAGTACTTAGGGTTTGTATCTGTTTGGATGAATATCTTATTTGCAGCTTATAACATAGTGCTTATCAATATAAGCACTTATGTATTAGCTTACATAAGCTATTTTTTAATAGAAAATGATAAAATAATGTTAAATTGTTTTTGTGTATGCTATATAAGTTGTTTTCATAATATATCTTGAAAATTTTATGAAAATAAGCTGAAAAAGGCTTATGATAAGCTGTTTTTTTTTTTATAAATTCTTTGAATAGGCTCACAAAATTTATGTCGGTAGATAAGCTATAAGCTAATCCGAATATGCCCTTAGTTTGCTTATCCAGGCATCCAGTTTTTTCCTGCCGCTATTTGTTTGAAGTGATTCTCTTTTAAAATTAACCAATTGATGACGGTCGAATTTACCAGGGTTTCAGGAAAATTGATTCGGATAATTGGGAATTTGCCAATGAAAACTTCATTAGGGGTCAAAAGCATTTGTTGAAGAATATACGAAGGAGGAAACATCCACATGTTGCAGATCAGCAAAAAGCATTGCCGCAGAAAAGCAATTCTGATGAACCATCACTAGAAGCGATTAATTCTAGCCTGTGGAAAGAAGTCGAGAATCTCAAATCGGATAGAAAAACCCTGACACAGGAGTTGGTTAAACATAAGCAGCACCTTGAATCTTCTGAGAGTAAGTTGCTTCTACTTAGTGATCGTCTGGAAGGAATGGAAAAGCATCAACAGCAGATGCTATCATTCTTGGTCATGGTTGTACAATGCCCTGGGTTCCTGGCTCAGCTGCTTCACCCTAAGGAAAATAACTGGCGTTTTGCAGAAGAAGGGAATATGTGGGACCACAGTAGCCAAGACAACGAACCAGTTCCTTCTGATGGAATGATTGTAAAGTATAAGCCACCTGTAAGTGAAACACTGAAACCTGTAGTTCCGCTATCTTCTGCCTTTGAGCCAGAACCCGAACTTTCTGCAGATGGGATGAAAGACTTGTGCATCAGTTCTGAGTTCTTGAAATTGCTCCTAGATGAGAAATTATCTCCATTAGATAACCATTCTCCGTTTCTCGTACCGGATTTACCTGATGATGGTTCGTGGGAAAAACTTTTTCTGGGCAGTCCTTTCCCCGAAAATGTTGAAGATACTGATCATGAAAATGAGAGGCACAATGTTAGTGAAATGGAGATGGAATCTATCATGGAAACTCCAAATGAAAGATCTGCTTTTGAAGCAATGATTGTAGAAATGGAGAAAACTCAAGCATGAGTTTGAATTATATGCTGCTGAGGGAGGATATTGGATGGGTCACAAGGTTTGGAATCTCAAACTGAGAAAATTGAACTTCAGCTTTAAAAACTAGCAAAATTTAGAGAGAAAAGGAAGCAATTTTCCTTGTGGTTAAGTCATAGCATTATCAAGTCATCATTTAACTATTTTTTCTTCCGTCTCCTCCAGCAGTTGTTTGATCCTCATCTGGATTCAGTGTAAGTATTCTCTCAATTTTTCATCTGTATACATGCTAAATGAATACGCAAATTTGAATGCTTTTACATATTGTGGAGATGATAGAGGCTCTGTTGATTTTTGTTTTTCTGATTTGCAGATTCAACTTATATCTGAATACTAATACGGGTTTGCTGTTTGGCTTCTTGATATGGTGTCCGGGGAGTTGTATGATCTGCAGCTAGTATGATGGATCAACTATTTTTTTATCATGTGTAAACTGTAAGGAAGAAGAGTGGTCTAGTAGGAGTTCTGTTTTTTGTGCCACACTTAACAGTTGCACATGCCTTCATATATACTTACAAAAAACAGAGTTTATAGAAAACATGATTTTTTGCCATATTATTTTGAACAAGCCAATGCTTCTCAGTTCTCACTGTGTTATGATTATCTTCCCCTCCCCCTAGTTCTCTGTGTTTTGCTCTAACGCATGTGCATGATGACTGGTTGGGGGTTTTTGAAGCGGGGCTCACTGTAAAACAAGGCAAGCTGCTATCATCAGCTGTTTGTGTTCGTGTTCGGATCTCGCAAAATGTCACTGTCATATGCGTTCTTGACTTAGGCTGGCGTACCATGCTAACGAAATTTCTTTATGGAAAATATCAAAACCTTTTTTTTTCTCTTTATGTTGGGCCAGGTTCTTTGTTCTTAACAGAGAGTATCAAAGCCAGAGGATGCACAATCTATATTATTACCATGTTTCTCTTCATTGTGTCTGAAGAATTCTAATGGTTGTTGTCCTTGCTTTATGTCTAGTGTTACTGAGGTTCATATTAAAAAAGCAGTTCAAACCAAAAATGATTTTTGTAACTAATCTACTTGTAAATCGTTTTTTCATATTGTCTCCGTGTTTTGATTTAATGAAAAACGATTTGGTTTTCATACTAGAATCATAAAGTGGATTGGATCCTGCCCGAAAATGGCTGATATGGAGGTTATGTTGGTTAATAAAAGAGTCTTTCGGGTGCTATAGTAAATGACTCCCAGAGGGGAATCCATGGATTTTCAAAAATATGTGGCTATCTCTGAAACCATGGGATCAGAATTATGCTGTCAAAGACTTGTCTTTCCACATTGTCTCAATCTGGGTTCAACTATGGGGTGTCTGTCCCCAATAATATCAAAACCAAGCAGATGGGGAGAAAAGTTACACCAGTAACCCCATGAATTCTCCCTGCTATGGTAGCTACAATCCCAGGAAAACAAAAGGAAAGACATCAAAGAGAACTCAGACGTATACACAATCATTACCAAACAAACGTGGGACACCTCTCCAAGTGTCAGCCGAGAGGCATGAAAATCATCAGTTGGAACTGTCGAGGATTAGGAAACCCTCGAATAGTTTGTGCTCTTAGAAAGATTATCACTACTCATCGGTTGAATATCATTTTCCTCTAAGAAGCTAAGCTACCCTCTATATCTTTTAGAAAAGTTTACTACAATTTTGAAAATTCATGTCTAATCAGTATATCATTGACTGTACCACCTCCGGTGAAGGAAAAGCAGGAGGTATTATCCTCATGTGGACCAATTGTGTGAATTTAACTATCCTTGACAGCAATAAATTTTTTATTGATGGATATTTATGGCATATTTTGATCAAACTGATACTTGTAACTTTACTTGTTTATGGTTATCCTAAACAAAAAAAAAAAGCGCATCTTACATATTCTAGTATTAAAAGATCTTCATAAAACCAAAAAGTTTTGACTAAGGAAAGGCAACCCAGAGATTGACTTGTGGGTCGACAAGTTGGGAAAGGTGGTAATGGAAACGATGTGAGTCGACGCCAGCAGAGAAAGTTTTGTGAGTTGACTCAAGCCTATTTCGTAGAAGAACGTTTGAGCGGGAAGAAAATTTAAAAAGCTGAGAACGTGAGAAGTTATAGAAGTGGTGGAAGGACACGTGGCGCCAACAAGATCAACATAGCGGTTATTTTATTTCCTATTTTAGGCAATACCCATGTTCATTTTGGAGGACGTATTTTGTAACATTGTAAAGGAAAAACACTCTGAGTACCAAGCGTTTAGAGAAAAGAGTTTCATTTCTGCAAAGTGTATGATCGCGTTCACATTTCCTTTTAATAGCAATTTATATCACCAACTTTAAAGATTTCTTGTCTTTTGTTTTTGTCTTTTCTTGTTTATGCATTTGCCTTTATTTAAGTCTATACAGTTTTTCTTAAATTTGTCTTCAACCTATTCTAAACAACACCATTCTACCACCATCTCATACACTCGACCGGTACGTTCTGGGACTTGTTTTACCGGTCGCACAAGTAAACCTGCGTTAGGAGATCAGAGGTTGTTCGTGCGAAAACTGCGTGCGAACAAATTGGCACGCCTAGTGGGACTCGTCGATTTGGGTGTATGCATCTACTCAGTGGTAAGATGGTGATACCACGTCCAAATGAAGAACTGTCTTCGGAGGGAAATATTATTGTGACTCAAACAACCGACGTTGGTGTTGACACTATGTCTGCGATTTTGACTGCTCATAGTGGGTCTGTCGTGACGCCACATCGACCTAAATCTAGGCCTATGATGACAGGAACTGGAGGACAATATATGTCTAGTTTCACAATGTCCACACCCCGAACCTTTGGGATGCCGATAGAGTTCATTTCGAGTCTGCATCACAGCGGCCCACTCTTTGGAGAAAACTCTTCGTCAGTTTTTTCGCCGTATCAGGGGTTAGGACCTTTGGCAAACCAAGTTAATAGGCCCCCACGGTTTAGTCTTCCGTCACATTCGATTCCAACTTTCACCTCAAGTTCTGTCGTCGTTATGCGATATCAGATGAATGAAAGTAATCACGAAATGGTCCACATGTTGACCCGGCAAATGGGCACCATATTAAGACCTCTAATACAAGATTCGACTCTGAGTTACCAACAATTGGCGACTCGGATGACATAGATAGGTGATTTTTTAGGCGCTCATAGGGCCCGAGGTCGACAAACGCCGCCACCTCGACCGGAGACGCCAATTCAATTAGACGAGGTCCTCGATGAAACAATTGACCAACAACCCCATGAAATTGAACACACACCCAAGGTGGCCCAAAGGCCTCCCGTTGTTTTAGTTCATAGGAACCAGGACCCAGACTATATGGTCAGACAGGCTCGACACAAAGCCATGGCTGGTGAACCCAACTTAGAAGCTATGGTGGAACGGATTATGGTTCGCAACGGGGCGAACCCAGGCTTTTGACAACCACCATATACGTCCCCACTGCCTGACTTCGTTCTACAAACAGAGTTGCCTAGAGGGTGGAAGGAGCCAAAGTTTACCAAATTCTCCGAAGAGACCGAAGAGTCCACCGTCGAACATGTTGCCAGATATCAAACCGAAGCTGGCGACATGAAAAACAACGAGGACTTCAAAATTAAGTACTTCCCAAGTTTCCTCACCAAAAATGCGTTTACTTGGTTCACCACCTTACTCCCACAGTCTGTCCATACCTAGGAACAATTGGAAAGATTGTTTCATGAACAGTTTTACATGGGACAATCGAAAGTTAGTCTGAAAGAGTTAGCCAACGTCAAACGAAAGGCCACAAAGTCGGTGGACCAATATCTTAACAGGTTTAGACTGTTGAAAGTGTGATGCTTCACGGAAGTCTCTGAACATGAGCTAGTCGAGATGGCGGATGGTGGCCTAGATTATTCGATCAGGAAAAAGTTAGACACACAATATCTCAGAGATATGGCGCAGCTAGCTGATAGGGTCTGACAGGTCGAATGTTTAAAAAATAAAAAACCCAGGCTAACAGATACCGTAAGAAAGAGAAAGTTTCATATGTGGCCCCTGACAAATACTCTTCTAACGATGAGGAGCTCGTCGATAAAAACAAGGTTAACGTGACTGAATTGAAGCCAGGGCCTCCGTACACATGCAAATCATTAAAACCATCGAATGAAAAAAATCTTGTCGAATCCGAAAAAACAGATAAATATGTCGCAAAAACGTATACTTTTGATGTATCTAAGTGCGATGAAATATTTGATTTATTAGTTAAAGATGGTCATATTATTGTCCCTCTTGGGGCAAAAGACCCCCCTTTAGAACAAAATAAGAAAAAAGGATTTTGTAAATTTCATAATTTCCTTGGTCATAGACATCTCAATGTGTTCTTTTCAGGGACTTGGTGCATAAAGTTTTGAAAGAAAACCGACTTCAATTTGGCGAAAGACCAAAGGTGCAGGTGGATACAGATCCTCTGAAGGTTGAAGAAGCCTTATATTATGAGTTATATGACTGCATGATGGTTGAGGCTACTGAGGATCTTATCAAACACTTGACAATCGAAGGGTTTGAATACATGATGATCGAGATTACTGATGATCCCGACAAGTAGTATGAGGAGAAATTCGAGACAGTCTGCCATCAAATTGGCAAAAGTCTGACTGATTTCCAAGAGAAATGCAGGGTGAGCGGGTCAAAGGCTGTATTATGCCCAAAATGAAACGCCGTGTTTAACGAAAAAGCTGCTGAGAAGTACAAATCGGGTAGGAAAATGGTGTTGCAAGACAGTAAGCCTCAGTCCCTAGGTTCGTGTTCGACCAGAACGATGCTCCTCGTCAAAACGAAGAATACATGAAGCTGTTCCGGCAGGCGTGACCCAAGAAGTTTGTGCCGCCATTAGATACTCCACAGGATAAGTGGGTGGAACCTGTGGTCCATAAGGGGAGCAAGCGGCCAAAATGGAGGGTATTGGATCTAGAAAAGGAGGCAAAGGCCTCCGACAAGAGTGCTGAACCC